TTCAAGAAAGAAAATTTCTCATTATCCAGATATAAAAAATAAGACGAATGAATCCTCGATTCTCCCTCAAAGAATCTTTCTCGGCCGAATTCAGGTTTATCTATCTTTCAGGTGGTCAGGGCTTCTAAGAAGATCGATTTGATATTTCTTGTTTCGATATTTCCCCACCTTGAAGATATGTCCGCCTCTAGTGAGAGAGAAGCATAGTTGTCAAATTTTGATGAAGTCCTAGCTCCTTTGGTGATATAGATCCCTTCCGTGCCCTGCGCGCACGTTTTTGGCAGAAGCAGCCCACTTTGATTTGCATGTAGCATCCTTGGGATGATATGCCAAGCCCGAACGGCATCGTCCTCATCGTGATGATGGTCATCATCGTCATCATCGTACCCATCACTATGACTATTTTCAGCAAACAACATCATCACCCTCATCATCATTCTCATCCTCATCATCATCGTCATCATCGTCATCATCGTCACAAGTAGTATGCAAGTTCTTGGACTTACCTACGTGGGGCAAAGTAGCCTGCGATAACAAGTAACAAGGAGAAACAAGCGATTGTGGTTCCAATGCGATCATGATATGGAGGGTCAATGCTTCAAGCAATGGTGTCAGATTTTGTCAAAACTGGAGAGCCAGCGTCAAATCGTCCCTTCGTTCCCTGCGGCGCCGTGAGACAAGGTTTGCCTCATTTCAAGTGAGCTAACAATGGGGGTTGCCTCTTCCCTTCACATTGATCTCGTGTTTGTCACCAATACGGCACTGGTGTCTTTTCATGAACGAATATTCCCAGCTGGGGAAGATCAGGACCGGGGCAAACTCTGGTCCTCGTACCACACTTGCGACTTGCCGGCACGGATGTCACTGGTGTCAGTCGTGACTATACGTGACGATGCTTGTGTCCAAGGTGCAGCAACCTTGTCCTCAACAATCTTGGGATGCAGCCGCTGATGTAGACATGTTTTTGCTCCAGCAGCCAGCTGACAGTCGCTCAAGATGGATCACCCTCGGCTACGCTGGGTTCGATTGCCGCCAACGCATCGACAGCTGCGTTGCGGACATCTGGATCATCATCATTGTCCTGGAGCGCCCTCTGGATAATTGAAATAATGGAAGCAATTGCCTCAGCCTCGCTAGCCTTGAGGCTGATGCCTATTGCCGCCAAGGCCTTGACAGCTTCTCTGCGGACGTTGCTGTACTCGTCTTGGAGCTTGCTCTCGATGCTCTCGAGAGCGGTGTCTGTGATTGCATCTGCCCCAACTCTGGCAACTGCTGCCAAGGCCTTAAGAGACGCCTCGCGGACAGACCACTCTGAAGACGCGAGCTGACTCGTCACAGCCGGAAGGATGGCCGCCATCACACCTGCGTCACCTTGGACTGCAACCGAAGCCAAGGCTCCAAGCGCCGCTGTGATGACCTCCTCACGCTCATCCTCCAGCTTGGCCTGGATGGCTGGGATGATGGTGCTCAGTACATCTCTGGTGCTGGCACTGCCTGCGGCTGCAGCCAGCGCCTCAAGAGCTTTTCTGCGAACAAGGTGCTGCTCATCCCCGAGCTTCGCCGTGATGCTGGGAATGAGAGCCAGCATTTCATCAGCTGCTCCATCTGCTCTACTGACTTTGCTTGCAACAGAAGCTAGGGCCGCCAGGGCTGTCAAGTGGAGAGGTCTAAACTCATCTCCCAGCGTGGGCTTGATAGCTCGAATGATCGCCGCAAGCACCTCCGTTGCGCTGACCTCCCGGGCAATCGCGGGCAAGGCCAGGAGAGCTGCCATGCGGGCATCCGCACGATCCGAGAGCTTGGTCTGGACAGCAGGAATGACGACCCCAACTACGTCAGCCTCGCTGACCTTGCTGGCAACTGCCGCCAAGGCTGCGGGCGCTGCGTTGCGAACATCCTTGGCTGGATCCTCGAGCTGAGCAATGATGATTGCGATGACGCTGCAGAGCAAGTCTCCACTAACCTCCGCCTGCTGAAGAGCCAGCATCCCTGTGGCAAGCTTCTCCCTGCCCTGCAACACTGTCCTCCTCTCCTCCGCAGAGATTCCACGATTCCGAAGACGTGCAAAGAACACCATGGCCTCTACCATCGGCGGCAGGTGGTGTAGCCGAAACTGCAGGACCGCCTCATCAAGCGCGGCGAAGCCACCACGATTCCGAGCCTTGATGGCAGAGATGAGGTCTCGCTCGTCCTCGGCGCGGCTACTTCGAGCTGCGCTGCTGTTGCAAAGGATGCCGGTACCCCGGAGGCACTCCATGTCGTCACATCCGTAGACAAAGAGGCTTCTCATGCGCTGGACGATGGCAGCGGCATACTCCTCAGACATGGCAGAGAAGATCGGCACCTGCGTCTCTTTCGCCTCCGCGACCTCGTGGACACACCAGAGGCGCGTGTAAAGGTCGGCCTTGGACGTGTGGACGGCGCAGAGTCCATGTCCCAACTTCACGGCCTCACATTCGATCACTCTCTTGAAAGGCATGAGCTCCAGCTGCTCCTGGGGTTTAGGGATCAGGGTAGTAGGGTTTGGGGTTTAGGGTTTGGGGTTTAGGGTTTAGGGTCTAGGGGACTGCTCCTGGATGCTGGGGCCTGCTGCGTCCTCAGGCTGATAGTTTGCGAAGACGCAAAACCACACGCGGATCTCATGTAGACTCTCCAGGAGGCCCCTCTGTTCAAGGCTTGTCTCTACAGCGGCCTTCAACTGCTCCATGTCTTCAGCCCATGCGTGGGAGAGCATGAGAGTCGCATCTGCAGAGTTGTCCGGTGTCATTAGCACAGACAAACCACAGCCACTCCCACATGTCCAGCGTTTAACAAAGTGCTCATTGACATCGTACATGGAGACGTAGTGCTTCTGTTTTTCGGATAGCTCGGTATAGAGCCTCGTGCCGCTGACGTGCGTCAAGACATCGAACCACTGGCTCATTGTGAGGGCCCATGTGGTAGGGTGGCGCCTTTGGCGCTCCCTCATCGTCGCAGTCACGCCCTCCTTGGATGTCATACGTGGGGGCGGCTCTGGTGCTAACAAGAGCAGTGCTCCTAAGTTTTCAGACAGCTTCTTGAGGTTCACTTCCTCTTCAAAGCCATACTCCTCCAGCACTTCCACCGCCCTCTTGAGCTGCTTCAAGTTGACCGCCTCCTCCTCCACGCCATGCTTCAGCGCCTGCACTGCCTCTTGCACCCTCGCAAGGTCGTGCTGCGACAACTTCTCGAGTTGGGGCAGCGTCACCCTCATGATCTGCTGCCTCTTGAGCAGAACTGCGAACAAGGCAATCGAATTTCATGATAAGACTCAGACTCTTTGGAGGGTGTAGGCTGCGAACGCTTCAACTCGAAAGCTGCCTGTCTTGTAGGGAGAAAACGTGGCAGGAATCCTAAGCAGCCCACTCCAGAAAGCCTCGAAGACCCCACAGGAGATACTGGTGCTGTCAGACCCCAGAACTGCGGAGCTTTGGGCTCCTGCCTGCAGTAGCGATCGCCAGCACTCCGGTCAGTCTCGAGGTCGAGGCTAAACGCCTCAGGCCTCCGGCCGCGGCGGATTGTGATGATTATGCCCGCTAGGATTCCTTACACTTATTTTTGCTACTATTGCAATTTTGCTTGTAGAGATTAGATCAAGTTGGTCAAGCAGGGTTTGACCAGATCCAGAAAACGAACAATCAAAATGGATTACGATTGCCATGATACTATATGTTTTTACTTTTACTATTTTTCTGTTATTATTACTATGACTATTACTATGATTATTACTATGATCATTGCTATTATTACCATGATTGCTTACTTGCTCTGCTCCTGCGACTGGAAGGCCATAGCCAGAGCTGAAATTCCCAAACAGCATCCGAGAGTCAGCTTCCTGAGAGTCAGCTTCCTTCCCCAACCCACATTCGGACTGGGGGGGGGGGTGGGGCCAGGTATAGGGGAGAATCCCCCCCCCCCCCCCCCCCCCCCCCCCCCCACTCCCCCCAATTCCCCCTCCCGCCCACCGGCCAAATCTCGGAGCCCCCCCAAAGCTTTCAACTTTACGCCTCAAACCAACCCCCCCCCCCACGCCCCCCGCCTTCCCCCCCTCACCCTCACTACCCCTTCCTGCCGCCTCGGTACCCTTGCCGAGGCGGCCTCGCGTTAGCGATAAAGTTATCATAGCAATCATAGCAACAATAGCAATGACAGCAACAATAGTTGCAATCAGAAAAGATGCGAAACTTATACAAAAGATACAATCACAACAAAGACAACGGCAAGAATGGTAACGATGGTGCTCAAGGCTGAATGGTTGGGACACCGTGCCTCGCCATGCTGCGACGTGGCATTCAGGACAAGCCATGATAGAAGATGGAGAAACTACACTCTCAAGGGTTCAGGTCCGTTGTAAAGCTGGAACACTTCATATTTACTGCCAACGTCATCGCAGCAGGGATCCTCCCTAAGGGGGTGGGGAGGTGTAGCCGCATGCAACAAAACACGCTGAGAACAGACCCAAAAGATTATCAAAACCGTAACTCAAATGGCTCTACTCAACCTGCACCAGCGACCGCTGGTGCCGATCTCTTTCAACATGTCAGCACGCACAACATGGCTTCTGAAACTCTAGCTAGGAATGACGATTTATGACTATGTAGTGTTGCGACAGTTAGCTACTTCCATTGCCACTTTCAAGGGGGCACTTGAACTCGCAGCCCTGGCATCTCCACCAGGGCCGTATGCCACAATATCCACGTCGAGGTCAAGTCGGACACAAGAGCTGCACCACAGACGGCAGGAGCACCGTTGAGGCGCTCTACTTAAGATTTCTGAACGCGTGAAATTTGGGCCGACGAGAATCAACGGGCAGTGAGAGGCGTATCGCTGTCGTAAGCTGCACGGACAGTGGTCAATTTCTTGGGTGTCTCGCCCTGTCCCCTCCAACACGAGGATCAACCACAACACACGTTGAGGCCACCTGCCAGAATGATGGATCGGGGAACTTGGGGTCCCAAAATATGGTCATGAGCACCCATCCCTGCTCGATCCAGGCCCCAGTGCAATATCAAGCAAGCTTTTCAGGCGAGTATCGGGAAGGTCTCTGCAACAACCTGCCCCACATAATGATGTTTTCCTTAGATCAACATCGTTGAAGGCGCGTTTCTCAAACTCGGCTCTTTGAACGTAAGCAGCCTGGGATGGGGGTGTGTGCCAGACACACCCACAGCAATCATGTTGGTACGAGTAGTGAGATGTGGTGAGTAGATGAGGCAATGCCTTTGTAAAGCTGCTGATGGCGATGTTGATATGGCGGCGATGATGGTGGCGATGATGATGATGATGATGATGATGATGATGATGATGATGATGATGATGATGTCGGTGATGTTGCTGACGACGATGATGATACAGATGACAACACCGATGGTGATAATGATGCTGATGCTGTCAACCTTCCTCATGACGGCAACGATGAGGATGGCCATGATTGATGCGGGAACAAAGTTGTCACAACCAAAATGAGCAGAACGATGATTGCAACGACCAATGCGATACTGATGTTGCTGATGTTTCCAACTTCTTCATTTCGAAGATGATAACGCCTTGGATACGGAGGCTCGTGGCGTTCACAAAAGTGACCACGGTGATGGATGAGGACGATGCTGATAATCATGAGGGTAGGTAGCAATGACAATGACTAAAGCGATCACGATTGCAGTACGTGCGGCGCTAATTCCTTCCATGCCAGGAAGTGTGATGATAAGAACATAGAAGAACGCTGATGAAAAGTCCACGGTCTCAAATGCTGATGCGTGATGTTCGAGTGCTGGAGCGCAGCACTTGCTACAGCTGGTTAAGATGCCATCACCCTAAACCCTAAACCCTAAACCCTAAACCCGAAACCCTAAACTCTAAACCCTAAACCCTAAACCCTAAACCCTAAACCCTAAACCATACCCAAAACCCAACGGGCACCCCAAGCTTGTAAGGCTGACTCCGGAGCCCTGCCACCTAAAACCCTCAAAACTATGGCACTCGAAACTATGGCCACTCCGTGATAATAGGATTCGCAGCAGCACTGCTCCCATGATGGCCTTCCCTAACACCGCCGAAGGGGGCCCGGAGTCATTGACACTGAGCGCGGGGCGGACCACCCGCAGCCTGCACATGTTGCGGCAAGGACTCCACGCAAACACAGCGACCCGCAAATCACACATCGGACTCTCCAATCCAGGCGCTGCAAAGGTTCGCTGTTTCAGGGTCACGGCTTTTTCCAGATATGCGATCACAGACACGTTCCGTGGTATCAGGCACATCGTGGCATTCTGCCCTCCCGACAGAGTGGGCAAGAAACTCCTATCAAAACTGGCTCAACCTGGCTCCGAGGCTTTAAATGCTCCCGGAAGCTCGCACCTTCCGCGTACACCTCAGCCTCAGGCATCCACAATTTTGTAGCGCTCCTGCCCCCACCAGTCCGGAAGGTCGTCGCGACCCTTCGTGTTGCTTGCATCAACCACCCCGTTGGGGTTCATCCGAATGTAGCGGTTGTGCGCTTCGTTGTGGAAAGCGAAGTATCCATCGCCAGCCTCCACTGGTCGGAACAACATCCACGAGTCTCCGTCCCACAACTGGTCGAGTCTCCTCGAGTCGCTGACTCCCATGGACCCATCGCCCTTCATCATCAAGAACCTGCTCGCATGGACGCTGTAGAAGCCTACTTGTCCCCAATTGGACTCCACTACCTGGAACTTCTCCCAGTTCCAGTCTCCTGGAAGCGTTCCGTCGTTGCGGCGACCGCTGGCGTCAACATGTCGGGTGTTGGTCACACGGATGAACCGCTTGTGCTCCTTGTTGAACAAAGCGATCATGTTGTGGTGCTTCAAGTCCTCGTCCATGCAATACGCATCGGAAGTGACGATTCGACCGCCCTGGCCGCTGTTGTGGTCGATGCCGACGTTCCGGTCTCCCAGATGACAGCCGCCGTCCTTTCCGTAGTAGGTGAAGTACCGGCAGCCTTTCACGCGTTTGCAACGATTCCAGCAGCCCATGTACTCTGCCTCGCCACTCCTTCCCTGTCCCGACATGTCCCTCGTGATTGCGCTGGAGGGCCTGGCGCAGCAAATAGGAGGTCCTGTCATGATGCCGGAGTTCCTCCTCCATTTCCTGTGCGAGTCCCAGTTCTGGAGGTGGCAGCCCCCGTCCTTCAAGGAGGATGTAGGGTTTTGGGTTCATAAGGCCTACGGTCCTACGGTTTAGGGTTTAGGTCCGTCCTTCCAGAAGGAGTAGTGCTTGCAGCCGCGCACGGTCTTGCAGCGCTCCCTGCACGCGGCCGCATTCTTCTCATGCGATCTGCCCTGGCCGGGCATGTCCGCATCTCCGTTATTCTGCTTGTACCACTTGTTCCAAGTAGAGCAGGGATCATCCATGGTAGCACCGTTGCTGCCATCCAAGAAGTTCAGCTTCTTGCAGAACAGGGTAAAGGAAGCCGCCACGCTGCCGCGGCACTTGAAGTCCCATGGAGGGACGCCAATGACCTCGGGCCCACCGCAGAGCATGTTGTTGGTCCACTTGGCGTCCACCGCTGCAGACATGCCCAAGCCCAGGGTGATCTTGATCTCGATTTTTCCAGGCCCCAGGGAGAGGGATCCTCCCACGGCCACACCGGCCCTCACACCTGCAACCCCTGGCATGTCCGGCACGTAGCCGATCGTAAGGCCAACAGTAGCCTTGAAGTTGAACCCTGGCTGATTCTGGCTCATGAGTGTTGCCAAGTCCAAGGTCGAGCCCGTCAGCAGCTTGAAGCCAGTAGCGACACCCCAGGTGGAGGTCTTGTCCGGGAACTTCTTCGCATAGCCCCCCGTGGCGATGACTCGCCAGCTCCAGCACCACCAGCCGCTCTTGGCGATAGGCTTGCCATCCTCGTTGTTGCGCTGCTTGAGGGCAAGAGCTGTGGAGAGCACGTCACTGGCCTCCTTGAACATGGGGTCCGTCCGTCGCTGGCCCCTGGACTTGCCCGGCCGGTAGATGAAGCTGGCAAAGTTCTCATGGAAGGCGCTGCTGCCGTTCAGGGCACCAAAAACCGAAGTCTTCAGCTGCACGAAGGAGCGGTGGTGGGTCTTCACAGCGTGCCAGGAAGCCTCCACATCCACCAGCTCAGCCGTATGACCGATGGAGGCATCCAGGATGTCGGTGAAGGATTCTACATTGCAGCCGATCATCTCGCACGTCTTCTTCCAAGTGTGGGTGAAGAAGGACAGCTCCAAGTCCGCGAGCTTAGCGTGGTCCTAAACCCGAAACCCCAAACCCTGAATCCCCGAGCCTAAGACCTAAATCCCAGACCCCAACCCTAAATCCCCAACCCTAAGCCCTAAACTCTAAACCCTAAACCCTAAACCCTAAACCCTGCTAGTCGTCATCCTTCAAGGCTAGCTCGGTTCGCTGCGCTGCTCGGTGCAATTGCACCACGGCCGCCACTGCCTGACTCCTGCGTGCTGAAGTCCCCGAAGTTTCCTCGTAATCAGAGTAGGGTTTAGGGTTTAGGGTGTTTAGGGTGTTTAGGGTGTTTAGGGTGTTTAGGGTGTCTAGGGTGTTTGGGGTGTTTAGGGTGTTTAGGGCTTAGGGTTTGGGGTTTAGGGCTAGGGTTCAGGGTTTGGGGTTTGGGGTTGAATAGGATGTTGGGGCGAAATAAACTGTAAAGACGATTTGCGGGGATGCTGTTACTCACTTTTCCGAGCCCCTCTCCTCGACTTCGGTTTTGAGCTGTAGCAACGCTCCTGGGGTTGGAGCGCCCTCCCGGACGATGTCCTCCTCGCCGCTGCAAAGCGGCGGCATATGGGGCAGGCCCAGCCTTAGTTGTCCAGTAACCTGGGGGAATTGAAGGTGAACCCTTGGGATGTTGCAGGGATTAGAAGACCCCTAAAAGGTTAAAGGTTACCTGCTCTACTACTAAGCAGCTTTGCCAGGATGGCAAACTCCTCGTAGTGCTCGTGCACTTCCTTCTCCACTTCCAGGTAGGTGGCCATGCGGCCAGCCGTGAAAACCTGTGGGTCGGAGGTCACTGCATCCTCGAGGAGGCAGGTCGTCTGCTTCATGCAGAACAGCAGCCACTCCGGGCTGTTCTGGCAAGCCTCCCTGCCCCGAGCCGTCAGCAACCTGTTCAGCTCCACGTTCCAGTCCTCGGAAATCTCCACGAGGACCTGTCCGTGAGGATCTTCGATCGGCTCCTGCGAGCCCACTTTGGCCTCCAAGTGGTAAAGCTCCTGGCCGAAGTACTCCGCCATACTGACGTAGGCCGCTATGGCGGTGGACACCAATGCCCCATACTCCGAGTCCAGCAGCTTCTGGGCAGTCTGGACCAGCTCAATGGAAGGGGTGAAGTTGCCGTCTCCTTCTTCCTGGCAAATGCTCCTGCCTTCCTCGTCTGGGTCAGTCCAGGTCTCGTTGACGAAGACGTCGTCAAACTCCTCGTTGGTGAAAGGGTCCTCGCCGGTGGTTTAGGGTTTCAGGTTACAAGGCCCTGTAACCGCCCTTGACAGCACCCGTACGGAACCCTTTACGACCCTTTTTGTGTTCTGGGTCCCCAATACCCCCTAAACCCTAAACCCTAAACCCTGAACCCTGACCCCTAAACCCTGAACCTTCGAGCATTTTCCGATCCTTTGGGCCCGTGCAAGCTGTAAGCTCGAGGCAGCCAGTCAAGTCCAATGGAGCCAAAACACCGGGCAAGAAAGCGACCCTAAACCCTAAACCCTGAACCCTAAACCCTGAACGTACCTTAGCATTGGGAAACAAGCCGTAGATGAACTAGGGCTCCATGTCAAGCCCAAGACATCGCTTCTTAGCACTGGGGGTCCACTTGAAGCACCGGCAGCGAACCCTAAACCCTAAACCCTAAACCCTAAATAGCGTTGGTGCACATCTGGAGCACCAGACAGCGCCAACAAAATCTACTTCTTTGCCCTGGATCTTTGGTCAGAAAAAGCCAGCAAGACCCCACAATGTAGGGTTTAGGGTTTAGGGTTTAGGGTTCAGGGTTTAGGGTTTAGGGTTTAGGGTTGAGGGTGATTTGTTGGACATTTGGTCAATACTACGATTTGTTGCGGCCGACATCTGCGGTAAGTGCCACCAAGACTCGGCAGTACGATTTGCCACTGCCGACAATGCAATTTGTTGTGCAGAACGAACCACCAACACCCGACACTACGAGTTGTTACGGCCTGCGGCCGACATTTTATCAGAAAGAGCCCGACAATACGATTTGTTCGGCCGACATTGGGTGCAAAAGGGTGGAGGGGGCAGAAGCAACAACCAACCGTACACAACCCAAAAAACTCCAGACCCAAACCACCCTAAGCCCTAAACCCTAAACCCTGAACCCCAAACCCCAAACCCTAAACCCCAAACCCTAAACCCTAAACCCTAAACCCTAAACCCTAAACCCTAAACCTTACCAAGAGCCCAATCTTGTTGAACCTAGCCCTAAACTTGTCCTTGCGACGCACACGCTGGACTTCGAGACGGCTCTGCCCGTCGCCGCCCTCGCGAGCTTGGCCGAGCATGTATTCGATCTCCTGCGCCGGGTTTTGAGTTTTAGGGTTTAAGGTTTAGGGTTTCGGGTCTAGGGTTTACGGGTTTACGGGTTTACGGGCTTGCGGGCTTACGGGTTTACGGGTTTACGGGTTTACGGGTTTAGGGGGAAGACGTGAGGGCTGCAGGATATTCGATCTCCTTCTCCGACAAGCGGAAGCTCTTTTGGTCGCCATTCCGGCCCATGGACTGCTGCAGTGCCTCTCCAAGAAGGGCTTCCCAAGATCGCACCTTGGCCCCCGGTACACCCAGGAACCATCCCAGCAGCACCACGATGCCCAAAGATTGCTTCATTGCGTACGTCCAGCTACAGCCTGTAGATAGGCACAGGCTGGTGGAAGATCACTAAAATGGCCAAGGCTGTTTTGTAGGCCAAGGCTTGGGCCGGAGCAAGTATGGTACAAGGGCACTAAGGGCCAAAGAAAGCCCTGGGGGCAAACATGATGTTTAGGGTACTAGGGTGTTCGGGCTTCAGGGTCATAGGGCATTAGGACGAAGAGCTGGCGTCTCCGCCTCAAGCTTGTAGTCAACGATGCAGGCGCAATCTCCGGACCTCAAGTCTTGCGTCGACTCAGCTCTTGAAACGTTGCCAGATTCCAGATCTACACTCGCGCAAGCATGTAACCTCAAATGGACATTGCCCCCAGAGTGAAACGAACAGTCGGAAGCGGTTCTTGCTTGGGGTAATTCGAGAGAGGCTTGCCTGCACGTGGAGTGCTGCCATTGGCTGCCAAAACCTGAGCCCAAGGCTGGACGAGCCCAACCGAATCGCTAGAGCCGTGTTGGACGGTCCAGCGAAAGTTGTCGTCCTTCATATGCAATCAATATAAAGGGACTTGACTTGAATCCCTCAAAACAGGACAGGACAAAAGGACACCACTGGCAAACCAGGGTTAAGGGCCAGGTCGAACTGTTCGAATGCATTCCACGCGGCACCTCTGCACCAGACGCTCTAGCACACACCGAAGCCCTAAACCCTGAAACCCTCCCTAGACCCTCACAACCTACAGCCCTGAAGCCCCATTATTCCATTCTGTGCTTCTGGCTTTGAACGACCGCCGGCCGCCTTTCCGTCATGCAAAAGCCCGCCGCCTTCCTATCCGAATACCAACGCCTGTTTGGGGTTTTGGGTTTAAGGTTTCGGGCTTATGGTTTAGGGTTTAGATTTAAAGCTTCCGATTTAAGGTTTTGGGAGCAAAAACCGTCAATCTCAGTTGAGGGTTCAATGCTCATTGGGTTTGATCCGGGTGCAGAGCTTTGAGTTTTAGGGTTTGCGGCCCTTGGCCCTGCTCCCGCAACTACAAGAAGCTTCAAGCCCTAATCAATGTAGACCTCTGATTAGCCCCCCCCCCACCCCCCCCCCCCCTGTTTCGACAACAATAGCCAACCGTCAGACTCAGCATCAGCAGCATCAGCAAAAGCAGCATCATTATGATCACGTTCAACTGTGCCGCTTGCTCTAGTCACTCTGGTCACGACTGTGAACTGTCTTCTCCACATCATCAAGGCTTTAGCCCTCGGCTGACTCCCGGCCTCTGGAATGACCTGGAAGAATGTGGGTCCACCTGTTGGCGGGAGGGGGGTCGGGGCTTCTCAGTCTGCGGGTTGAGGGGTTTAGGGTGTATGTAGTTTGGTACCTGACCGAGCTGTTTGGGATTTGGAAATCAGGCGTTCGGAGGGTCTAGACTGGAGGTTTATCGGCCGTGCTTAGTCGGGCCCTCGTCACTAAAAAATCGCATTGTTGCAATCGGTCCAGACAAATCCTCATATCCGCACCTTTTTGGTGCCTCGCTTTCCTTTCTCAATATCTTCTCTCTTCTCTTCTCTTCTCTTCTCTTCTCTTCTCTTCTCTTCTCTTCTCTTCTCTTCTCTCCTCTCCTCTTCTCTCCTCTTTTCTCCTCGTCTCTTCTCTTCTGTCTTCTTTTTCTAGCCTTTCTTGTCCCTTCTTTCTTCTCTCTTCTCTTCGGGTTTTAGGGGCTCAGCTTGTGTTTCATGGGTTTCAGGGCATTGCTGTTTGCTTCTCAACATTTAAGGCTCAATTTTTAGGAGAAGGCTTTGGAGGGAGCCTTCTCTCACATCTGAGGCGCCCGCTGCCGACGAAGTGACCAGTTGGTGTTGAAACGCATGTGCTCAACAATCCACGGGCCTTTACCTTAAGTCCTCAACGGCCTGAGGGGGTGCCAGAGAAAGTCGGAATCATAGTTTGTTGAGGTCATGTTGCTCATCGTCACGTGGCTCTACAACAGGCGCTAGCAACTCGTGAAAGACATGTGAGTTCCAAAAACAGATCCGCGCATGCTGTCAACACGATCAGGATGAGCCATGATGTCAGCGGCACGTACTGCTGGCGCACCATGAAGAGACACCCTACTGTCGCGATTCCCATATACAAAGCCATTGTTATTCCCAAGATCTTGTCGTACAAGGAGAATTAACGAAGCAGAGCAAAATGACTTCGTCAAAATACTCCCAAACCCTAAACCCTAAACCCTAAACCCTAAACCATAAACCCTAAACCCTAAACCCTAACCTACATACGAAGGTCTCTTCAAGGGGAGGCGAAAATCAGCAAGAGCTTCGAACAGCCTCCCTCGAGGTCGGGTTGGCAAGCACGAAGAAAGCACGAATGGCTAGATGAATATAATCCCGACCCCTAGATGGAATACTGAGGCCGCATACCCCGCAAGCAGAAAGATTGTGAATCAAAATCAACAGCTTACAGGTCCTATTTAAAACCAAAGGAAAGACGGAAAGACCTACCTTTACAAATCGAGGTTGACAATAGTCCATCATCGGTATCTTGCCATATTCTGCGTAGGCCCCAAACAATGAGATTGGCTTCTAAGCGAGTACGTCGTAGGTAGACTACATCCAACATATTTCGAGACATCAAACGCTCCAGACAACATGCCAGAGATTGCATTGGCGCTCGAAGAACATCCCCTAAGACAAATCCCAAAGAACCCCAAAAACTCACCCATGACACGGGGAGCATTCCAAGCGGCAGCCGCACACACGAAAACACAGAAAATCACCAACCCTAAACCCTAAACCCTAAAACCCTTATGAATCATTCTGAGATGAGTCTTGCGTCCGGACTAGAGTCGGTCGGCTGCGATTTGCAGACAAGCGGAAGCCGGATGAGAGTCAAGAAGCCAAAGCGACATGAAAGCCCAAATTACAAGGTTTAGGGTTTAGGGTTTAGGGTTGACTCTTGGAGGTCTCTACCAAACGACTGCACATCCCAAACACACTCATTCATGGCAACTTATATATATATATGTATACAATTTTTCGAAGCCAATGGAGGAAACCACCAAAGTTCAAATAACTTAAAGCGAGCTTAAACGCCTTGGTGGGGGCCTCTCCGGCAACAACTTTGTGCATGTCCACCGGATTTGTTTAAACCCTGTGCCCTAAGCCCTGAACCTTCTTGCTTAAACCCTGTGCCCTAAGCCCTGAACCTTCTTGCCGTTCTTTGCTTAGATCCTAAACCCTGAACCCTAAACCCGAAACCCTAAACCCTAAACCCTAAACCCTAAAGATTCAGATGGCGGTTGCTTGTAGTACTCAACCTCGGAGTGTTCTTGAGTTCTTGGAGTCATTGTGGGGTTTGCGAGTGCTACCACATGAGACCCTAACATAAATGGCATCCCAACCCCAGGTGCAGGGGAAGGCTCTTGTAAGAGCTTGAGGTTGGGTTTAGGGTTTCAGGGTTTTGGGGGGGGACGATGGGGTTTTAGGATTAAGGCTTTTTGGTCTTCAGGGTTTTTGGGTTTCGGGGTTTTGGGGTTTTAGGGCTTAGGTTTAGGGTCTGCTTGAAGTTAGATCTACACAATCACTTCCCAAATCCCGAGTCGAGATTCGAGGCTCCTTTTGTGTCCTGCCAAATCATGGGATCTCTTCAGTATCCTTACTGGTTCTTAGTAGCGAATCCCTTCAAGGGTATGTATGTATATATATTATATATATATATATATATATATATATATATATTATATATCATCTATATACATAGGGGGATATAAAGTACCTCATTCCCTCGCTCCTACTAAGAACCAGGCAGTATCTCATCTTGGGGGCGTCAGACAACTCTGCCAGCAAAAGGCCTCAGAACTTTCCAAACGCCAGACCGCCAAGTCATACACTTCCCCCCACACCCCTGTGTCCCCCAAAAGCTCCTGTATCTCCCCAAACACCCCAAACCCTAAACCCACCCCTAAAATCCCTAAAGCCTGAAACCCCTGAAATCCCTAAAGCCTGAAACCCCTAAAATCCGTACCTAAAATCCGTAAAGCCTCTGAAAACCCTAAACTACCAACCGCAAGAGACCCTCAGAATCGTTGAGACGCGCCCTCGACCCTAAACCCTAGATCCCAAACCCTAAACCCTAGATCCCAAACCCTAAACCCTAAACCCTAAACCCTAAACCCTAAACCCTAAACCCTCCTTTGGGAGGCGCCAAGTTGCCAAGCTGGCAGTTGGTGGCTCCGTGCCTGAGGGCTCAACTTGGGGTTTAGGGTTTAGGGTTTAGGGTTTAGGGTTTAGGATTTAGGGTTTAGGGTTTAGGGTTTAGGGGTTTGGGGTTTAGGGTTTAGGGTTTAGGGTTTAGGGTTTAGGGTTTAGGGTTTAGGGTTTAGGGTTTAGGGTTTAGGGTTTAGGGTTTAGGGTCCTCATGCATGACTGGGGATCCTACGAGGCGGAGGCCACAGCATGAAGCTCCCAAAGCGAGTTCCTCGTGCGAGGCGCGAACACCCACGTGAACACGGAAGACTCCCTGGTGCTTCGTAGGGAATGAGGGAATGAGGAACTTTCTATCCCCCTATACCCTTGTACACCCTTTAAGGGGTTCCCTGCTAAGAACCAGTAAGGACGCATGATTGGGGGCCTTATAGGGGATGATATAGGGACTACTATAGGGATCCACTCCCCCGTTACCTACTAAGCACCAGGTAGAAGAAGCTGAGGCGCCGGCGCCAAGGCATGGTGAGACAAAGCCCAAGTTGGCCTTGACAAATTTCAACTGGCTAAACAAACTCGCGGCATTTCCATTGTTCTACCCACAATTCGATTTGTCTACCCACAATTCTTTACATATAACGGCAAGCAAGATCGACTAGTCGATGCTGTCGGATCTGAAGCTTCGGTTGGCCATGATTCAGTCTCGCCAACTTTGCTTAGATATCTCTGCGATCATTCGTGTCTCGCCTTTTCAACCTTGATCGGATTACCTTTTGAACGTCCAAATCGGAGGTCTTTGTGAAAGCTTGTTTGGATCTGCAGCGAGCCCTTGC